AAGGGAAAATCCCCATGGACCGAAGCAACTTTAGGCCGGTAAAATAAAGTTTTTTTCTCCAGACGTTTTAGAAATGTCGTCGAATAAATGGCTTATTGCATCTAAGTCGGTAACGCAGTTTTTGCATACAGTTAATCTAGTTACCAGTTTTGAACTGATAAAAAACCGCGTGTATTTGTTTACATTAAACATAGCTTTATCATGTTGAATTTGAACTGTGACAGAGTTATGTCCGGTTTTGGCTCAGATAAAATTTTTCTCTTAAAGGAAATACTGGAGCGTACGCCGGGTCTTGATGTTGCAGCAAGGGCGGTTGACGATCTTGTCATCGAGTATGCTGAAGGAAAATTGCCGAAGGTTGTTGGTGTTGTAAGCGATGATCAGGTCAGATTATCAATAGCTGTTTTTTTTTTCTTTACGTGCTTCAGTAGACACAGAACAAAAGTGTCGTACTCAAAGCACATCACGTGTTTATTTCCCTTCTTTCTTCATATTTTCTGCTTTTTATTATTGCTGGTTTTCGCATTAGAGATGCCTGATCTGTTATCACAAGAAAATGTAATTAACGGAGGCAATTTGTCCCGAAAGACAGTGTGATTGCCTTGCAGATTTTAATAAGCAACATGAGAAAAAATTAAAAAAAAAAAACAGACATATTGTGACTCGGAAACTTTCTGAAAAATTCTAAATACTTTGTTTCTGCATTTACTTCTTGACCAAAACAGTTAGAGTTAATGTTGTTGAGATGCATTCACACATCAAACGTATCCCTATTTAAGCCCGTTTTGCCCTGAGCTGCTTTTCTGAACTTGTTATCTCCATGATGAATACACGCGAAATCATCTGAAATATATAGAATACCTGCTATTTTGTAGTCTGGATCTCCGTCTATGCAGCCGACAGCTTATTCATTGACTGTAGTTTTGCTGCTTTTGCACCAGTGAACTTTTCTGAATGTTTCAGTTCCTTTTAAATCAAGCCATAAACTGCACAGTAGTTTTGTTCTCTCTAGACCATTTCACGTACTCTAATCACATTGAGTTTTAGATTTTAAAGGCAAAAGCGATTGTGGTGACCACTGGGACATTTTTGGGTGGTAAGGTGTACCGTGGTTCGCAAACTTACGCTGCAGGACGCCTCGGTGAGCAGGTATGTGTAAATTTAAAGCTGATCTCTGGCGCATCTGTTATTTAGAAATTGCCTATGATGTTCATTTTGGGACTTGTTTTAAATTACTGTGCGTTCCACATTCTTTAATTGTCCCATGGCGAACATGATATAGTGGGAAAATACGCTGAAGGTCGAGGATTCGACTCAGCTGATGGGGCAGTCGGTTTTTGTAAAAGTGATTCATTCATTGGTTTCAATGGTGAATTAGTTTGGCATATGAACAGGAATCGAACTTCCTTTTAAGCAGCCCACAAAAGACGGAACCGTCGGCAGCCTTGCACTCGGAACTTGCTACCGCTCGTGTTACCAATGTCTTTACCTTATTTGCGGCTAATACGGAAGGAATTTGGCTTTTGAAATCGGGTAACCAGACCCTTAAAAAGCCTATTCCACGGTATGCGGATTCTTTGTTTTAGTAAAGCAGAAGTGTCCCCTCCTGCACTTGTAGCACATTAACAAAAATTGTTGGCAAAAATGCAATTATGTTCGTAGTTTTGTATGCAGCATGTATGTATTTTTCCAGCACTGTCCCTCTCTAGACTTTCACTTGCACGCAAACGAAGCCTAGGTTCGCTTTAAAGCTTAATTTGAAATATTTCAATTGTGTATGGGCATAGAATATCCCCTTTAAACTTTCACCCCTCTCCCCCACCCTCCAGAATATCCCCTTTAAATTTTATTTTCTTAGCTTAACTGATTGACGAAATCATTTGTTCGATATAAATGTGTTTGAGAATCCCAATGCGCGACACAGACTTGTGGCAAAATCTATTTTGTGTCTACATGTCCACGTTTGAAAAGCAAATATTCTCATAAAGTTAGAACATCTGGCCAAAAATGTCTCGTTCTGAAATTTGGTG